TTTCTCTGTGGCTTTGGAGGTTGTCCTGGAACTAGCTCTTGTAGACCAGGTTGGTCTCAAACTCACAGAGATCCACCTGCCTCTACCTCCCGAGTGATGGGATTAAAGGCATGTGCCACCAACACCCGGCCTCTTTGTTCTTTATAGTGTCTATAAGCCTTTTTAAAAAAGATTTATTTTTAATTATGTCGGTGATGGGTATGTGAACATGAGTTCAGGTGCCCATGGAGGCCATAAGAGGGCATCAGATGCCCTAGAGCTAGAGTTACAGGTGGTTATGAGCCACCTGACGTAGGTGCTGAGAATAGAACCAGGGTCCTTTGGAAAGAGAAGCAAGTGCTCTTAACCACTGAGCCCTCTCTCCAGTCCTGAGCCACCGTATTTAGTGTATTTACCCACTCCTCCTGTAATGGATATTGTAATTACTTACAGTTTTGCTTTTTACAAACATTTGTGCTGAAAAACTTCTAGGTATTTCCTTGGCACCTGTGCTAGAATTTGTCATATATTTGACTAGAAAAATTACCAAGTGCCATTTCAATTTTCCTAGACATTGCCAAATAGCTTTCAGAGGGATTCCTCAAGCCTGCACCCCTGTTGATAGTGTGAGGCACTTACTGTTCCTTTCGCTCTGACAGTTGATGTTGTCAAACGTTGTTTATTGGTTCCATTTAGTAAGCAAATATCTGGCTTCTGCAGTAGTGTATGGACTAGAGACATGTGACTGGACAAAACAGAACAGTCCCTGCCTTCATAGAGTGTGCATTCCAATAATCACAATAAACTCAGGAGCAGGTCTGAAGCTGCTTTGCACCCCAGAGCCTCCCCATGTACTAAGGCAGGTCATCTGAAAGCCCTGCTCTGCCATTCGATAAATAAATGTGCCCCTTCTTCACCCAGATCCAAAATGATCTTAAGCTTTGTGCTTTAGCAGACAGTTCAAGGGGAACTGCAAGAAACAGCCCCTCAAACAGTGTGCACCGTGCACACTGAAAGATCGATGTGAAGGGCACTGTTCCTAACCTTATTGGCATCTGCTTTTCTGGCTTCCATTCGTTCTTCCCATATGATCTTGGAAAAAATACTTCTGAACATCACTTTCTTGATGTCTGGGGAAAATGAGGGTGATGTATCTACATCACAGTATTATAAGGAATAGAAATTGCATATGGAAAGCCCTTAACCCAGTGCCTGGCACACAGAAGGTGTTTGATACCCAGCAGTGATCACGATCTGGAGTCACCATTGCTTCTAAGCAGCCAATGCGCTCTTACCACGTGGACATAGCGGGACCAGCTGGTTGTGTCCATATTCTCTTGCTGAAGTGTCAGGTTGGAGGTGCATACCAGCAGCAGCTGGCACCTGTTAGCTCCTGCTATGTCAGCCTGAGCGAGGCCTGCACATGTGTGAGCAAATGCTGAGGCAGGTGTTACTATTTCCCAGTTAACCCTTTGTGAGTCCTCCTGGAATAAGAAGTGGTGTGACCAGAGTCAATAAGGGCAGGCCCGTGGTCAGAGCAGTGCTTCCTACTTGGTTGTCTCTTGGTTTTGTTTCTATCATGTTGGGGCTTAAACCCAGGGTCTGTATGTGCCTTGTGCTCTACCACTAAGCTATACCCCCAGCCCCCAGTCCACTATTTGCTTCCCCAACAGCTGTCTTGCTATTTAGTCTGTGTTCCCTGGAATGGAATGGAGTCATTGATAGGAATGTGCCAGCACCTCCTCGGCAGGAAGGGATAAAGATGCCGTATCCTAGGAAGGACGCATGCAAGGGAATGGAGGCTCATTTGGCAGGGAAGTAGCACATCACATTGCTATGACCCCTCCCTTTAGACCATGCGTCTCTCTCTTGGCTCAGACACCTGAACATTTTAAATCTCTTTGTGCCCTGCTTATTTCCCCCTTTCTCCTGCCATTCTGCATCTTTGACTGGGAGGTCTCCTGAATATCCCTGCCAGTCCCAGAACAGAAAGTAAAACACAAATCACAAAGGCTGGCAGGTGTCAAGCCTACAAAGCAGAGACTTTTCTGCTTTTTAAATATAAAGTATATGTGTAACTATGTATTGTTTAAAGAAGAAAAAACACCCTGCTATGTAGGGGATGCTGTAGCCACGCCTGCTTAGGGGCTGGCTACAGGTGTGCTTGACCACGGTGCGTGATGTAGGGAAAGTTTAAGAGTGAGGGGCGCTTACGTGGCAGCCCTGTTTTCGCTTTCATCTTTGGCTTGCTGTACTTACTGCTGCCCTGCAGGCTGGCTGGGTCACTCTGTAAGTAAGGCTTTTCCCTATTAAATTCCCTTGTATTTTACCTGATTCCATATTGGTAATTTCCCACATTACTCGTATCTATCACTCAGCTTAAGAAACTGAACTTGAAGCAAGCCCAGTAGCACATAACTATAGTCACAGCATTTGGGAGATGGAGGTGGATCAACAACATGAGTTCAAGACCAGCCTGAGTAACAGAATGAGGCCTTGTCTCAAAGAAAAAAAGAAAAAGAAAGAAAGGAAGGAAGGAAGGGAAAGGGAAGGGAAGGAAAGGAAAGAAAAGGAAAAGAGTAAAAGGGAAAAAGACCAGTAACTTGGAAGGTCCAGCATATCTGGTCATGTTTTAAGTTTATGCTAATCATTGCTTTGTAGTTCTATATGAACTCACTACTCCTCTGTAGTATGGACTCTTAAAATGATGTTTCCATAACAGTAAGTCTCTTCATTTTACATATTTCTGAATTTTTAGTTATGTGCCTCTCTTTGGCTTCAAGTGTTTTAGTTTAAGATAGTATCTCACTGACAGGCGTTGGTGGCACACAACTTAATCCCAGCACTCAGGAGGCAGAGGCAGATGGATCTCTGTGAGTTCCAAGGCAGCCTGGTCTACAGAGTGAGATCCAGGACAGGCTCCAAAGCAATACAGAGAAACCCTGTCTCAAAAAACCAAAGAATAAAATAAAATAAAAGTATCTCTACAGAGGCTGAAACTCTTTATGTAGACCAAGCTGGCCTTGAACTCACAGAGATCTGTCTGCCTATGCCTCCAGAGTCCAGAGTGATGTGACTAAAGACATGAATTACCACACCCAGCCTTTTTTTTTTTTAAGGGGTGTGTGTGTGTGTGTGTGTGTGTGTGTGTGTGTGTGTGTGTGTATTAAAACAAAGTTTTCCACTTGAATCATTTATAAATGGGGAACTGAACCCCAGTTCCATGGTAAGAGTAGCAGTGCCCTTAGCTGCTGAACCACCCCAAGTTCTTTCCCTTTGGCCTCTCAGATTTTGTTTTGTTGGGGCATGGTCTCTATTATATAGGCCTGGAACTCACTATGTGGACCAGACTGACCTCAAACTCAGAAAGGTCCACCTTCCTCTGCCTCCCAAGTACCTCTCAGATACCTTTATTTTTTATGAGTGTTTTGCCTGCAAGTATGTCTGTGAACCATGTAAGTGAGCGGTGCCCATGGAGGCTCCATGAGGGCATAGGATCCCCTAGAACTGAAGTTAAAGACAGTTGTGAGCTGCCATGTGGGTTCTGGGAACCACCCAGATCCTTTGCCAGAGCACAACTGCTCTTAACCTTGAGCCATCTCTCTGGCCCCAAGTTCTATTTCTTAGATTGGCAGTGGACACTATATTCTGTGACGGGCTCTCTCCCCTGAACATTTTTCCTTGCTACATTTATGTGTCATGGAACATGTGCAGGGGTCAGAGGACAATGTCCATCATCAAGCTTGGCATGTTTTCAAAATTTTCTCTCGTACGTGGCCTTCACTAGGCCATGTTCCCACAGCTGCCTCCTCTCTGGACTTCTACAAATGCCTCCTAAGTAGTTGATAATCCCTACTTCACCACCACCCCAGTTGGCCTCCAGTCATCCTGTCCAAAGCCCAGATGGAGTTGGGTTGTCTCTGCATACTCATGTCTGCTACTCTCTGGAGCCTGCAGGTGAAGGTCCAGACTCCTTGGCCTGGCATTTAAGTCTGACACTCTTGTCTGTCCAAGTCCCCAGTTCCCCCATATACACTTGAATTTCTGGGAGTGGTCCTGTGCTGTTCCCTTAGACTTGTCGGGCACCATCCTCTAAAGACCAAGCCCCTTGCCTCACTGCTGCTCGCTTCATTCCACCAGCGGAAGCTGCTCTCCCATCCTGTCACTGCCTCACAGGCCCCTCCTGATGAAATTCCAGTATTTGCTGCAGCCTCCACAGCGGCTTCCATTGCTAATGTATCTCTTCTCCATCCAGATCTACGCTCTCAACAGAGTCATGACGGAGCTGGAGCAGCAGCAGTTTGATGAGTTCTGTAAGCAAATGCAGCCACCTGGAGAGTGAGGCAGCTGGCATCTGAGTCAGAGGCCCTGGAGTCTCACAGAATTAAACAAGACTTGTAGAGAACTCTGCACTGAACTTCCTGTAGGTAACTTCACCACACTGGTTCCTCCTCTCAGAACTGGCCCAGTGCTTGCTGGGTAGACTTTTCATCTGGAACAGCAGATTTTTTAAAAAGGCCTTTTTTCTACTGTGTGAGAAAAATCATTGTTTCTAGTGAAACTGTGTGTCCTCCCTAAAAATAATAAAATACAAAATGTTCATTTGTTCTTACTTTAGGGTGGGAATGCCTTCTCACAGAAAGTAGAATAAAGAATGGGGTAGGTGAGGGCTGGAGGGATGGCTCAGAAGTTAAGAGCACTGACTGCTCTTTCAGAGGATGCAGGTTCAGTTCCCAGCACCCATCCATATTCAACACTTCACAACCACCTGTAACTCAAGCCCCGGGACAATCAACATCTTTTTCTGGACTCTATGGGCACTTCACTCCCACACAAAGACATACATATACACACATAGTTAAAAATAAAATAGCTCTTAAAAAAAAAAAAAAAAAACTGGCATGGTATACAGGAGGCAGAAACAAGCAGATACCTGTGAGTTTGAAGTCAACCTGTTCTACATAACAAGTCCCAGGCTAGCAAAAGCTACATAGACCCTGTCTCAACATGTGTGCATGCTCGGAATAAGATCCAGTGTCCCTGGGGACAAAGGAGGTGCTTTGCCATGGCAATGAGGACAGCTCATTATTTTCCTGAAGGGTAGAGAACGCAGGAATCAGTGGATTTGGTAAGCTGTTTACCAAATGTGGAAGTTTTTTGGAGAGCAGGAAGTAGGGTGACGAGGGTGAAAAGGAAAGGTGACGGAGGTTTGCAGAGAGAGCGTGTGAAACAGCAGTCTAGTTCCGCCGAGAGTGAAGACAGACATGCGGGGACATGGGATGACAGCTGCAGTGGTAAGGCTTCACTGGGGATGAGCAGACACACACCAAGCAGCACTGACCATGGAGTGTTCTCAGCCCTGCTGGAGGAAGGCACAGTAATTAAGTGAACCAGGGCTTTGCTCAGCAGCTAGAGTGGAAGCAGGGAGGTGCCCATTCCCAGGGCATGGATTATAAGGATGGGCTGGCTCTAACTGTGTGAAAAAGTAAATGAGAGCCAGACATGGTGGCACACACCTGTAATCCCAGCAGTTGGAAGGCTGAGGCAGGAGGATCAGGAGTTTGAGGCCAGCCTGGGCTACATGGTGAGACGCTGACTCAGTGTAAATGAGAACTGGAGGAGGATAAGGGACTTTGAAAGGTGTCTAAGGCTCGTGAGTTAGAGTTTCTACTGTGGTTGAAACTGAGCTTCTGGAAGTATCCTGGGGGTGTCGGGGGTGGGTGTGATTACAGAATAGAATGCAGGAAACAGACTGGAGAGAGGCAGAGCTCTGGGAATGACTGGGAAGCTGGAGTAGGATGGAGGATGGAAGCCAGAGCACTGCGACAATCAGTAGTTAGGAGAACTGCCCTTGTCAGGATTTGTTGAGTGATCTTGGTACCTCAGTCTTCATGTCTTAGGAAGGATATTACTATTTCTGCTTCACTTGAATTCCGTAAGGTGGAAAGTACTATATCTGGAGTACACCTGTCCTCACAAAACAGCACAGCTGTGAGTTAACTCAGATGAAGTCCCTAGTAAACTTAAAGGCACTCTTACTCTTTAGTGGGTGAGAAATTAAACACTGTGGTGGCAGCGAGGTTCTCTCTGCACTGGGAGCCGCTCCCCACTGTTATTAGTTTCTGTGTGACACAGGAATGACTGTAGACCCTTCCCCCTTCTTTCCCCTTCCTTTCTTCCTTTCCTTCTTTTCTTTCCTCCCTCCCTCTCTGCCTCTCTCCTTCCTTCCTTTCCTCCTTCCCCCTAAAAAAAAAAAAAAAAAAAAAAAAAAAAAAAAAAGAGGGAAGCATATTCCCTCCTACATGAGCAGGTAGTAGAGAAAAAAAGAACACGAAGCCAGGCATGGTAGCGATGCCTTTAATTCCAGCACTCAGGAGGTAGAGACAGGCCTACCTGTGAATTCAAAGCCAGCCTGGTCTACAAGTTGAGTTCCGGGACAGCCAGGCCTACACAGAGAAACTCTGTCTCAAAAACAAAAACAAACCATGCTTACTTCCATTGTTGTTCTGTGCCCTGCTGATCACAGGCACCCCGTCACACACATAAGTATATGTGACCCTTTACTCCCATTTGAGCTACTAGCCAGGATTAAGAGGAGGGAAGCCAGGATCCCCACCATCCTGTGGCTGCAGCTAACAGCAGTTCTGCAGCCTAGGTACTTTTAGGTTTTCATCTGGCAGGTACTTCACCAGTCCTAGAGTCAAGTTTATGAGGAAAATGTTCAGACTGATCCCTTAGGAACGAAACACCCATCACCCAGCTTCCTCTGTTAGGGGTAGAGGCATAAAATTGTCTCAGACATGTGCTTCAGGAATGTAACTCACACCGTCATGTGTGCAGCAGGGTTACTGTAATGCTGTGCAAGTGCAGGGATTCAGGGGATGAGCCACCATGCCTGGATAAAACTAAAAATCTTTTTTTTAAAAAAGAATATTTTTGCTGGGCATTGGTGACGCACGCCTTTAATCCCAGCACTTGGGAGGCAGAGGCAGGCAGACCTCTGAGTTCAAGGCCAGCCTGGTCTACAGAACGAGTGCCAGGATAGGCTCCAAAGCTACACAGAGAAACCCTGTCTTGAAAAACAAACAAAAAAAAAGAATATTTTTAATTTGAAGGAGTGGCTAAATTTATTCCTTTTATCTGTCCTTCACAATATTGAGCCAGTTAAATCAGTGGTTCTCAATCTGTGGGTCACGGCCCCTTTGGGGTTCAAAAACCAGGATATTTATGTTATGATTCATAACAGTGGCAAAATTACAGTTATGGAGTAGCAATGAAGGTAATTTTATGGTTGGGGGTCACCACAACATTAGGAACTGTATTAAAAGGTCACAGCATAACAAAGGTTGAGAACCACTGAATTAAGTGATGAATTCAAGAATGTAGGAAAAAATGGGTTTAAAAAAATCTCATTTATGAACCATGACATCCCAGAAAATGTAAATGGTGTTTATGACAATAAAATTTTGAGCATTTCACCCTGAAGGAAAAAAAAACAGAGAAAATTACATATTGGTTTATAGCCTGCTGATCTCATTGGAAAACCCTTGAGCATTAGGAAGGAATTAAGCTCACAGTTGGAGACCTGAGTGTAGCTGGCTTTCTTAGACTGGCAGCCCCCAAATCATGACATAGAGACTTATCATCAACCACGAATGCTCAACCCACATGGGCTTGTTTCCAACTAGCCCTTTTTTTCCCTCAAATTAACCCATTTCTATTAACCCATGTGCTGCCCTGAGGCTCCTTTATCTCATCTACACACTGTCCACCCTGCTTTCCTGCTTCCTCTGTGCCTGACTGGCTGGCTCCCCCTTTTTCTCTGCCCAGCCACCATCTAACCCTCCACTAGACCAATCAGGTGCCCTGGGCAGGCAAGGTAAAACAGCAATACATCCCTACATAGTCAAACAAATTCAGCATAAACAAATTCAACACATCTGTACATAGTTAAACACATATTCTATTCAAAAATACCTGAGTTTTCAAAAATTCCAGTTTTCATATGAAAGCCCACATTTTAAACAATGTATTCTGAGTGTTTGTTTGCCTGTCTGTATGTGCCCACAGAGGCCAGAAGAGGGCATGGGATTCCTGAAACTGGAGTCACAGATAATTGTGCACTAGCATGTTGATGCTGGGAACAAACCCTCTGCAAGAGCAGGCAGCGCTCTTAACTGCTGAGCTGTTTTTCCAGCCTCCCCAGCCCCAAACATTCCCCTCCACCCCTGAAATGACAGGCACACTCAGATCACACTTCAGGAAAACCCAGTTGCAACTGCCCTACCTTGTGTGTTTGTCCTCCCAGGGGAAAGTAAATCTTCATGTTAGAAATAAGAAAATGGATCGGGCGTTGGTGGAGCATGTCTTTAATCCCAGCACTCAGGAGGCAGAGGCAGGTGGATCTCTGTGAGTTTGAGGCCAGCCTGGTCTACAGAGTGAGTTCTAGGACAACCTCCAAAGCAATACAGAGAAACCCTGTCTCAAAAACCGAGAGAGAGAGAGAATGAGTTTATAGAGATTAAACGTTTTTCTCAGGACCAGACCTGCAAAACTAATAGGATTCTGCCATAGGATTCCATGCAGACATGGAGCAGTGCTTTGGAAAAGGAATCTCCACCATGCTGGGTTTAGACCAGAACCTCGCCCAGACTCCCTGACATCACTGGTGTGCTGGAAGAGCTTTCATGTCATCCTTTGCCCTTGTGCTTGTGTGGAAGCCCAGGAAGAGTCGCAGAAAAACTGCTCTCTAGGGAATAAAGGTGCTGAGGTGAGCTGGCATCAGAGCCCCAGCCTGCTGAGAGGCAGCTGGACTCTGCAAGGAGCCTCAGCTGCCCTGGTGTCAGTAACCCAAGTGGGGAAAAGGAATAAGTTGTTACTGTTACAATTGCTGAATAGTTCATTGTCGAAGTCTGGGGGAACTCAATCCTGTTTTAACTCTGCTTCTGACACTTAAAATGGACACAATTCAAGAATCACATTTGCCGGTGGGGAGGGGGGTGGGAGGGGTGGTTGCTGTTGTTGTTCTTTTCTTTTGAACATAAAAACAACCAGAAATCATTTGGTCAAAGCTCAAGAAGTAGTGTGAAGACACCGTTGACTAATCTCAAATATCAGATCTTGAACAAAATTTAATTGGTTGAGAGTAGCGCAAAGCATTGTTTCCTAACACCTACTATATGGAAGCGCCATGCTGGCTGTTGGTCCCTAAGAACTCATATGACAACAGTTCTCAAGGTTTGGTTAAGTGTAGACTCACACTGACATGAGTGCTCACCCCTGGCTATGTCTGAGTCAAGCGGATGTCTTCTTCCTATAGTAACCTCTATAACTTCCGAGAGTCCACAAGGAAATTGATTCATCTTCCAATTGAACATTTTTTGAGTCCTAGGCACTGTGGCAGGTAGTGCAAATAATAGGCATAAATGAAAGGCAATTACAGTCTAGCAGAACACAGCAGATCCATCTAACAGTGACCACATAAAAGAAGAAACAAACACTGGGGAAAAGAGGTCTGGGAGAGAAGATGCTGCCAGCTTCCTTGGAGTTGTAATGACATTGGCATTTTTCTTTAATTTGCAAGTTGGTTTTTACTTTTTAATCTAATTTTAGATTTGAGGCATATATATCTTAAAACTTCAAAGGCAGACATGTTGTAGAGGAGTTCAGGCGCCACCATGTGGAAAGAGGCGGAATTAGCCAGCTGTCCTTCAGAAGTCTGGAGTGAAGCTGGGATTCCCTGGTTATCCTCCAGAAGGTGCAACTTTGGAATATAATAGCATGCAGTATTTCTGTCTGGTTTGTAGTTTTACAAGACAAAGTGACATCTCAGTAGAGTCTAGTGTTTGAAAACTTAGAAAAGATACACAGAATGAGACCCCTGGAAGCCAGGTGTGATGGCTATTCTTGGTTCTCAGAAACATCTGGAATTAACTAAACCCAAGCAGATACACCGGTGAGGGATTTTTCTTTTTTTTTCTCTCTCTCTTTTTTTGAGACAGTTTCTCTCTATGTAGTCCTGGCTGTCCTGGAACTCACTATGTAGACCAGGCAGACCTTGAACTCACAGAGATCCCCCTGCCTCTGCCTCCCAAATGCTGGGATTAAAAGCATGTACTACCACACCTGGCCCAAGGGAACTTTCTTAATTAACTTGTTTAAAGTTAGAAGACCTACTTTTAGTGAGGATTTTTTGAAATGGGAAGATCCATCTTTAATTTGGACCCCACCTTCTTGGTGGCAGCTTATGTAAGTAAAGGACATGGAAGAAGGAAGCTTGCTCTCTTTGCCTTCTTGCCCTCACTAACAGGTGCATTCCTTCATTGGCATTAGAGTCTACTTCTTCAGGATTATGTCATATACTGAAGACCAGCTGAGACATCCAGCCTTATAGACTGAACAACTATTGGATTCTTAGACTTTCTGTTGGTACATAGCCATTGTTGGACTAGCTAGACCATAGCCTATCAGCCACTCTAATAAATTCCATAGATAGATTGATAGATAGATAGATAGATAGATAGATAGATAGATATTCATTCTATCCATTCTGTTCCTCTAGAGAACCATGACTAATACACCAGGTGAGTCATTTGGACTGCCAATCAATTTTTTGAGATAAAGTATCCTGTAGCCAAGGCTGGCCTAGAACTCCCAATCCTGAGCTGAAACTCAACCCAAGCCCAAACTTAACTTGGAAAACAAAAGTCTATCCTACATGAATGATTCAAGTATCACCCAAGCCAGATGGTGGTGATGCATACTTTTAATCCCAGCACCTGAGAGGCAGAGGCAGGTGGATCTGAGTTAAAGGTCTACAGAATGAGTTCCCAGGACAGCCTGGGCAACACAGAGAAACCCTATCTCAAAATACAAAAAAGCAAACAAAACTTCGTTCAAGTATTACCCAAAAGGGAGTCTGAATCATTGTGGGAAGATAAGGCCTAGGAGGCAGACAGATGAGACAACCTGGAGTTTACCTGAGGGCCTAGCAACAGGTGCTGTCAGAGGTCCTGATCATGCCTAACCAATGAGGAGTGACCATGCAATGTCACTGGGTCTAGACACAGCCTGGGTGCTGGAAGGAGGATATATAAGGCTCTTCCCGTTGCTGAATAAATGAGTCTGCTGTTTGCCTTTTACCTGACTCCAGGAGTCTGTGCTGTTGACTCCATGCCTTCTCACCCCTTCCCCGGAGGGAGCTCTTAGAATCCAGCAACAAACCCTGATTAAGGAGAAAGAAGCAAAGGCTTCTGGGCCCACTGTGGGGTCGCTGTGATTCAAGACAAGAGATAGCATTTGACAACACAGGCACCAGGAAAGCTTTAGTGAGGATGGGGCAGGTCTTGGTCTAGCATGCTAAGTGCAGAGCCCACAGAGCCAGCAGGAGTGGTGAAGCTGTGGTTTCCCCCTCGCTAGAGCTTAATACAAGCTCCCCTGCCCCACAGGGCGTCTGGAAAGAAGATGTAGGAGAGTGACCAAATCAGGCAGTAAAAGGCGGTGAGTGAGAACGGGGAGAGAAACAGCATGATAATACCTGTAAGGACAGAAACAGACACTCAGTTTCATGAAGTGGCTCCTACCCCACCCTCTGTCTCTCACAGGTCACTCACAGAGCTGAGGAAACAGCAGCAAGAGAGCAGAGGCCCCATGTTTAAGTCCTGTTTAGTAAGTATATGTAAGCTCTTGATTGGAAGCCAATTCAATCTCAGGGTCCACTCTACTGACCTCAGACCAGAAGCCAAGTCCTGGCCAATACTGAACTCAAGTTGACCAGAGCCTTTTCTAGCAGGGAGATCTTCCTAATAGTTTGGAGTTTACATGCACTATTACATGCCTGAGACTGCTTACGGAGTGGCCTCAGCTCTCCGATGATGCCTCTGAATAATCAGAGTGGCTTGCTTTGCCCAGACTGTGCAAGTACGTGGTCTGTGCTGAACAGCCACTTTCCTTCTGGAGTCTGGAACTCAGTACCTGCGAGGCAGAGGGTACCTATCTGAATCTCTGATGACCTTCCTGGAAGATAGTGCTTCATGTGAATGACCACAGTTCAGGGCTTGACAATTGAGTGTGACCCTGGTGACCTGGAGAGGACTCTGGGGAGCCAGCATCTCATTTCTGGGGTCACTTCCCATGCATGTTTTCCCTCTGCTGACTTTGAGCCACGTTCTTTTTGTTGTTGTTGCTTCTGTTTGGTTGGTTGGTTGGTTGGTCTGTTATATCCCTGGCTGTCCTGGAACTTGCTCTGGAGACCAGGCTAGCATAGAACTTAAGAGATCCAACTGCCTCTGCCTCCTGAGTGCTGGGATTAAAGGCGTGTGTTACCTCTCTGGGCCACATCCTTGTGTTCTAAACAGTCTTAGCTATGAGGAGAACATGCTGAGTACTGAGGCCCTTCTAACAAATCCCTGAACCTGGATCCAGTCTCAGGTAGTCCCAAAACAATCTGAATTTCAGGTTAAACACATTAAGAACAAGGACTTCAAAATTGGTGGCACACCTACTCAGTACTGGCTAAATTGCTTCACTTACACTTCATAATGTTCCCATGACTTAGAATTACATCTGTTTTCCTCATAGGAGACACAGGGGAAGTGACCTACACAGAAGCCTGACTAAACTAGACATTCTTCCTCAGTTAACAAGACCATGGGGCAACCACAGTCTCATGACAGGCTCTCCTGTAGCCCAGGCTGACCTCAAACTTGCGTCGTAGCTGAGGATGACTTTGAACTTCTGACCATTCTGCTTCCACTTCTGGAGTGCTCAGATTACAGGTGTGCACCGCCATGGTCAGTGTATGCAGTACCAGGGAGCAAAGCCTGGGGATCCATGAAAGCTAAGCAACTACTTGACCAACTGGGCTACAACCTAACTTGACCATCGTGTATTCTGTGAGACCCTGTTAGATCATGACAGATGACAGGTAACAAAAGGGTGCTTATGGGGAAAAGAATCAGCTAAGGATATGTTCAAGGGTTTTGTAATACTGCAATTGGAGAGCAGTCATTGATCTGCTGAGGTGAGGAGGCAATGTTTAAAGCCAGAATTGTCCTTTAAAAAAATTGATGGCATTATCTCTCCAAAACTAGCCATGGGCCAGCTTCTTGAAGCCTGGAGCTCTGTAGGAAAGCATAATGTCCACAACATCCACTCTGAATGTGCACAATACTGGCATTAACTGGTGTCAGAATCTACAAGGTACCATTTCCTCCTTAACTCATACAGCAAAGCAACCCAGGAGCCCCATGCTAAGTGTGTGGTTTATTTTGAGCAAAGGGGATCAACTCCAGGAACAACAACCTCTGAGGGAAATGCTTGCTTTGCTATGAGCTAGGAGAGGGGAGGTAGAAAAGATGGAGCCAGCAATTGCCATATATAGTTCAGGACCCTACCAGAGAACTACATCATTATCTCATTCAATCTCAGTGAGCTGTAAGCTAGGAACTTGGAGCTTTATTTATAGATGAAGAAGACTGAATTCAAAATGATGTGGTATTAGCCCAAGTTTATACAACTATGTGCAGAAGTCAGAGCTTCAACTGTGGCACGTTTAGTTACAGACCCAGACTCTCCTCACCATCCTGCCTCTGGCCTGTAGGGCATAGGAGAGCCAGCACCCAGAACTGGGTCAAGGATTCTGTACTAATACTGCATAAGGTATGACCCTGAAGGAAACATATCCTATGACCCAGAGTAGATTCACAGCAAAGGAATAATGGGAGAAACTCAAGCACCCCCAGGGATGCTTATCTTGTTCGATAGCACACATTGTAAAGAAAAACTGATACTCCTTGAAGGAAGCCCTAACTCAGGGCCCAGTCTGCCCACTTCACTGGCCTAAGGTTTTGTCACTGGCTTTCCACACAAGTTCCAGCCACACTGTCCCACTAATGCTTCCAGCATCTTCTCGGTCTCCCAGGCATCCCAAAACATCTGTGAGCTCATCTCTCGGCTCTCCTTAAACATCATCCTTGAGGGACATTTCCTCCTCTCAAGTCATCTCAGTCTAAATGAGTCACCTCTGAGAGCACCCACCCCATGCTTTCCCAGAGCATCAAAACTGTTTGTAGTTACTCTTTTTTTAGACAGAATTTCACTCCATAGCTCAGGCTGGCCCGGAACTCACTATATCTTGAACTTGCAATGATCCTCCAGCCTCGGCCTCCCAAGAACTGGAATTACAAGCCATTGTACCCAGTTTTGTTTGTTTCCAATTATTTTTTTTGCCATTTTTATTTGCTAGTTTTTTTGGTTTTCAGTAACTTTCTCCTTACCTGAGGCAGGAACTATGTCTAGTTTACCAGACTGACTCCCTGTACACATAGCCACACACGCATTCCCAAAATTCTACTGAACTCATTAACATTAGGTAGATATTTATCGAGCACAGCCTAAACCTATGCACTGGAGCATGAAGAAAACAGTCCTCTAAGGAGGTGAGTACATTTGGTATTTTCTGACATTAAAAAAATAGTAAATATGCACTTTGTTGGATAACAACAAATTCGATGGTGAGAATACTCGAGAGCAAAGTGCATGGGCAATGCTGCTGTGAGGCTCAGTGTGACCATAAACATCTGGTGACAATTATTTGAACTCACCTCCCATATAAACCACTTTTTTCCAGTTCTCCGACTCCAGGACTTCATCGTGTGGATAGCAACTTTGGTCGATCATGAACAGAATCATGAGTGAAGCCATGCAGCAGAGAATAAATGTGTTTCCCTTGGTCAGAAGGCAGGTGGAGGCCAAAACACAGGAAGCGTAGGGGCAGGGTAGACCCTTGTATACAGAGGGACCTCCTCCTAGGGAAAGATCATGGGATCACCTGCTTCCTGGTGCCAAGGGCATCTGTCAGTTCGGGTCTCCTCTCCCTGAGCTGCCAAATTCCCTTGGTCCAGGTGTGGGAGGAGGGTGTAGGTCATTCGGTCATTACAAGCAGATGCTGTGAAGGCTTAGGTTTGTGTTGGTTTCTGGGGACAGCAGGCAATCAGTGTAGACCAGGTGTGCCCACACCTTGATGGGTCCTTGGAAGGCCAGTCTAAGCTCAGTGCTGGCTTTACACACCCTTCCTGTGTGGTCTTAGGAAGGCAGCTGGCCTCACTTTATCACAGCATCTCCTGTTTGGGGAACTGGGGAACTCCATTTCCAGAGTGTGTGAAGCAGTGCCCCATACAAATATCATACAGCAAAGAGACACAGCTGCTGAAGAAGCAAGGACTCATTTCTCCCAGACCAGCCCTTCACCTCTAGCAGGCACCAGGCTCATGAGGAGGAAGAGGAGCCCATGAACGACCCCTGGCTTCTGACTCCTAGCAAGTTTCTCCTGCCCCTTGATCCCTGTCACAGTCCTAAAACGGACTGGGTTCCACTCACCTGTTGAATAAAAACACAGGCGGAAAGAAGTGGTTAACACATAGATGACGGCCAGGAACCCATTCAGAGGCCCATCCACACCAAGGAGCAGAGCTGAGGCCAGGCCAAAGGTGGTGAAGACAGCGAAGTCATTCAGTTCAAGTCCTATTTCAGAGGTTAAGGTTAACTCACAGGCATGCATTCTACACCCTAGCCTCTCTCAGGTGGCTGGTGCAGTAACAGTTGAGGTGTTGGGGTCTCAGAAAACAGCAGCTGCTCCCTAAAGGTGGCCTGTAGATCCAAGCCTGGGTTATCCCCCCCCCCACCCCCAGCTCTTCTGGTGCTTGGCACTCAACATGGAAGGCTAGGTGCACACGCTCACAAGCCTTGGAACCTTTTTCAGGCAAAATCTTAACGTGGAAACATTTTGAGGTATTTTGAACCAGCTGCTTTGCCTGGGAATGTTTCTCATCCCCTCACTGACCCTTGCCATTGTCTTCACTTAACTAATAAATCTACAGAGAATATTCCTCACTTAGAATGAAGGTGACCCCAGTGAACACTTGGAAGGCAAGAAAGGATAAACAGCAAAGAAACAGTTTGAGTAACTCAAAGTGAAGTCTTACATCATAAAACTCACAATAACCATAATAATGTACTATGGAGTCTAAACACAAGACCAAAATCTTTAGCAAATTCAAAAGAAGAGTAAATGGAATTAAAGCAGAGGGGTAAGGAGGATAAGGACTAAACAACTGGGCAAGGGCAGGGCAAAGATGGGAAAGAGAGCCACGCAGTGGTGGCACACCTTTAATCCCAGCACTCGGGAGGCAGAGGCAGATGGATCTCAGTGAGTTCGAGGCCAGCCTGGTCTACAAAGTGAGTTCCAGGACAGCCAGGACTGTTACACAGAGAAACTCTGTCTCGAAAACAAACAAAACAAAACCAGATGGGGAAGAGAGCCAGCCCAGGAGATGGATCCAGGCTGCAGACGGCTCAGTCCTGGGGCAGGACTACTTCCACTATTAACAAAGGCATGTGAACAATTGGGTGACTGAGGAAGGTCTGCCTGGCTTCACAGGATGGGTGGGAGCCTGAGAAGGACGCTGCCCAGGGTAGGGATTAGAGGGATCTAAGGTCTGGACTCACCCATTTTGTGGCAGATGTTGAGGTGCCTGGTCATCGTCCCTACTGCCATGTCTAACAGGAAGCTGATGAGAAGCATCCAGGAAGCACAGTGCGATTTCCTAGAGGGCAGCCATCAGGCAGCTTCTTGTAGTTCCCACTGGACAAGTCCACACTCAACACGCACTCTTCACATAAGCACAGCCAAGTGCTTTCCCTCACCCACACCCTTCTGGTACATACCGCTTTCAGTGTTTTACACACACCCTCCAAAATGCCCGATACATAGACTTTTTATAATTTTTAAATTATTTTATGTGTCTGAGGTATTTTGCCTGCATATACAGCTGTGCATCACATTCATACATTGCCCAGGAAGACCAGAAGGGGATGCAGGATCTCGTGGGACTGGAGTTACAGTGACCTGGGGTGTGATAAACCCAGGACCTCTAGAAGAGCAGCCAGTGCTCTTAACCACTGAGCCATCTTTTCAGCCCCCAACCCATAGTTTAAAGAGGTTCTCTGACACCCTCGACCCCCAGTAATCACCAAGATCTCCCACAACTCTTCTGTTTTGGGGGCGGGTGTTTCAAGACAGGGTTTCTCTGTGTAGCCCTGGCTGTCCTGGAACTCACTATACCAGGCTGGCCTCAAACTCAGGGTCTGCTTGCCTCTGCCTCCTGGATGCTGGAATTAAAGGTGTGCACCACCACTGCCGCTGAGACCTTCCAACTCTTAAGCCCCAGTGTATGTGATGACACAGGGTCCTTCCTAGTTCCCAGTGCAGCCTCTACCATTACCCCACTGTGACTCCAGATAAATTACTGTTTGTCTCTCTAGGTCTCTTTCTCCACTTGTGAAATGAAGGATTTATACTACATGATTTCCTCTCCTTTCTTCTCTTTTCCCCTCCTCTCTCCTTTCCTTTCTTTCATTCTGTGGTGGTTTGAGTGAGAGTGTCCCCCATAGCTCATGTGTTCAAATACTTGATCCCCAGTTGGTGGAACTGTTTGGGAAGGATTTGGTGTGGCCTTGTTGAAGAGGAGTGTGAGCTCTCGGCTCTTTCTGCTGTGCGCTTGTGCTCTGCCATCATGAACTCTCATCCTATGAAACTGAGAACCCAACTAAACACTTTCTTTTATAAGTTGCCTTTGTCATGATGTTTTATCACAGCAATAGGAAAGTGACTAAGACATCTGTTCTTCAGGAGCCACTGACCCTATTTTTTGAAACAGGGTTTCTCACTGGGACCTGGGGCTCACTGGTTTGGCAACGCTGGATGGTGAGTGAGCCTCTCCAGCACCGGGATCCTGAGTACACACTGCCATACCCAGCCTTCTTACATGGCTGCTAAGAATTGAACTCAGGCCCTCATACTTGTGCTGCAAGCACATCATTGACTGAGCCACCTCCCCCCAACCCTGGTCTTAGGCTCTTGATCCTCCTGCCTCCACCTTCCAAGTTCTGGGATTACAAGCATATGCCATCATACCTGGCTAAATTCTGACTTTCCTACAACATTAACCATCTGGTTCTCCTCCTCCTCCTCCTCCTCCTTCTCCTCCTCTTCTTCCTCCTCCTCCTCTTCCTCCTCCTCCACCTCTTCTTCCTCCCCTTTTTATTCCCCCTCCTCCTCTTCCTTCTCCTCCTTCTTTTTCAGTACTGAAGCTTGTACTAGGCAAGTGCTCTCCTGTTAGATGTGCCAGGTCAGAGTTTGTGCATTCTTTCTGTTTCTGAGCTTTAGTTTAATTCCATTTGACCTGAGATTATCTTCTTTATGACAGCTAGTCTTTTATATGCCTAGAATGCAGAATAAATCCTCCAAGAGAGCTTGAGAATACTGTGCATTCTGCTGTTGTTGGACCAAGCGTCCACAGGTGTTGATTACACCCAGACACCAGATGGTGCAGCCAAGATTAATGTGCTTGCTGACTTTCTGCAGATTTGCAATAGGTGTTGGCATCTCCAACTATGGTATGGATACGTCAGTGTCTGTCACAGTTCTCTTGGGTTTGGTTGTGGCAAGGATCCATCAGTGTCTCCCACATTCTCTTGCATTTGATGCTGATTCGACTCTAAGTCATTTCCAGAGTTCCTCTAGCCCTCACACTCTTCATTGCACCTCATCCATCATACGCTCCCATATAAGCAGCCACCGTACAAAGAAAACCTGCCCACAGAGGTCCACTGCTGATTCTGCACTGGATTACAATGCTTAGGTGACCCAGCAGAAGCAAAGAGGAGAGCCTGACCTCTGACCTCAGCCATCCCCAAACAGCTTCAACATTTGTTTAGATCACAACTGAGGGTTCAAAGAGGCTAAGTGAAAATAACAGAACCTACAACTGTAACATAAAATTACCCTCTCAGAGGATTCGTTTATAAACTATTTGAGTTTTTTTCCTGCCACAGATGTGCATTCTCCCACTTTATTAGACTCCAAACCCTCAAATTTACGGATGAAAGACAGATAAAGAAATCCCATGCTGGCCCTGGAGAATCAGGCACATCAGGAGTGCATCTGAATGAGTTTTATTTAAAGAGCTGGTCTGCCAAAGGCCAGGAAATAGAATTCAGTTTACAGGGGCATAAATTGCTCCTGCTTTCTTGGTGGTGGCACCTTAAATGTAACAGAAATTCCAGAATGGTGCTAATATCATATGTTCAAATCATATGTTCTGATTCAAGAACCAGAAAATATGAATGAAGCCAAGTGAAGTAGCTCACACCTACAGCCCCAGCACTTGGGAGATCAGCAGAAGGATCAGAAGTTCAAGGCCAGCCTAAGCCACACAGTGAGTTCAAGACCATCTTGGGATCTGTGGGGAGAAGGTGGGAGAGAGGAGAGAGAAAAGGGGGTGTCTGTGAATACTACTATGCATCTCCCTTTTTCTCCTTCAGTCATTCTGAATTGCTACAGCTGAAGGAACAAGAAAGATTATAATACAAACTCTTCATGCTACAAAAAGAAACTGAGGCTCAGAGATATGACCAGCCTGGTAGCAACACGGAATCCACAATCCTGACTTTGAAACTACTATACTGTCCTTGTCCCCAGGCTAATCTTTCAGCCACAGTGGCTAGATCTCTAGAATGTTTCTTCCCTTCCTCATGCCATAGGCTCCAGCTTTAGGCTCAGAGCAGGTTGTACCCATACCTACCTGCTGAAGCTGCAGAAGATGGAGAAGAGCCCCAGGACCATGTTGGCCAGGGACAAGGCATTAATAACATCCTTCCAGGAAAGTTCAGTTGTCATCTGAGAAATGGAATTCTCGTGGTTCAAGATGTGCTGACCTGTGGCCCAGAAGAGAGGTACACAGAGTTCCCAAGGTCAAGGGATCTCTAGAGAGGCTCTCAGGGACCTCCTCCCAGAACCGCACCCTCTCCACACTCTATCTCACCAATTGAGAACACAAGTTATCGAGGAGACACCAGAGTTAAAGACAAGGTTTGGAAAAGCTTAGCAGCAGGGCAGATGAACTCGCATGGCCATCCCATCCCCCCCCCTTTCCCTAGTCCCACGGCACAGACACCCACCCGGGAGCCTTTTGACACCTCAAAGGCCCCCTCCTTCTGAGAGATAGAGCCTTGTCAAAGATTAATGGCTGACTTAAGAGAGGCTATGCTCACTCCCTTAGAGACCTCAGGGCACAACACAACACTGGTCCCATCTCCAACAGAGAAGGAAATCAACTTCACAGAATGGATGTGGACAGCATTCAGTGGCTCCCCAGCAACTTGCGCTGTGTTCTTTCCTCTGATCTGGGCCAGCTTAAAGGGTATACTCTTTCTTCCCCTATTTTATGAATGAGGGAACAAGTTCAGCACATTGGAGACATCTGCTCAATGTCACACAGTAAGTGAGGAGAAGCAACCCCTATGCTTGATCCTTAATCTGCTTGATCCTTAATCTGTTTCTGACCCCAGCAGGAGGTGGTTTAGGGACTTTGACTAAGGGGTTCACTAGGCTAGGCTTACCAGATAGCCTCTGTCTGCCAGAACAGGTCATGTCCAGGCCTTTGACCACCCCTGGCATCTCTCATAGCAGGGAATCAGCTGGCCTATCTATCTTCACCAACAGTCTTGGCTCTGTCTTTACACTATGTCCAGACAAATGTGCTCCTTACACATCAGCTGTTTGTGTCCTGAGACAAACAAGCCCCACTGATGGCATAAACACATCAGCCACACAAAGGAGCCCTACCCTTGACTGGTAATGAGTAAATCCTGTTCTCACATCCACTTTCTCTTTAATCCTTCACTCATTTCAAGGCTCAGGCTTGGCCTCCAGACAGCCCCACTGGACAGTTCCAGGCCCTTAAGGTCTGAGCAAGAATTGAGACAAAGCCAGACATGGTGGCACACATCTTTAATCTTAGCATCTGGGAGGCAGGGGCAGTGGCTCTCTGAGTTTGAGACCAGCCTGGTCTATGTCGTGACTGTCTAGGATAGACAGACTATTGCGAGCCCCTGTCTCAAAAAGAAACAAATTCAAAAGGAATTGAGACAAACTATGCTCTTTTAAAAACAAAACAAAGCAAAAACCTGCCACCAAGATGTCCAAGGCTGGGAGGGACTGAACTTGGGTCTGGAACTGGAATATCCTAAGCATCACTGAAGGGCTTGTTGTTCCCATAGGCAGCCTCAGGCACCAAAGGAATCAACAGCTGTGTGACCAAACCCATCAGGATTAACACCTAAAATAGGAAATGACATAAACCCAGGAAGGCTGGGAGTGAAGGGGAGATGATTTTGGCTGTACCATCCCACTCCGTGGACCTATCCAGCCATCTCTCCTGTTTTAAGGCCAACCCCAGCAGGACTAGATATCTCAGTTCCTGATCTAGACACCTGTTCACCTGCTAGGCCACCAACCATCTCCTTGAAGAACAGCATCCCTGAGTCTCTGCCTCAGATGAGCAGATGTCCAATCTCCCAATAGACATTGCCTCATTCGTACTGCTTCATAGATTTTATTTTAGGCTGCTACACTGTCTACCCTGCTCACAAAGCACTTGAACACCTGGGATTCCCATCGGCCCTGTGCGCTCAATCAGGCAAGGGTTGTCATCCCTGCTTATACATCCCAAGTAAGGCAAACACAGCAGAGAGGGGAAAGCCTTATGAGGGGTCACTCTGAAGTTACAGGATGAGATTCAGTTCTCCCTTGAGTGTTCCTTCCTCTCCACTCTGCCATCTACCAGCAAACAGGACAGAAAGTTTCTCAGGCTCTATGTTTAGTCTAAGCTAAGAGAACCCCTGGGTCACTGCCTTCAGAGAACATATGGTCAGTCTACTGGTCTAAAGCAGTGGTTCTCAATCTGTCGATTGTGACCCCTTTAGGAGCTGAACAACCCTTTCACAGGATCTCATATATTTATTTTATAATTTATAACAGTAACGAAATTACAGTTACGAAGTAGCAACAAAATAATTTTATGGTTGGGGGTTACCACAATGTGAGGAACTGTATTAAAGTGTTGCAGCACTGGGAAGGTTGATTGAGAACCATTGGTCTAGAGAAACAAGACACAAGCATACATGTGGCCCCTCTATTCATAGTAGCCCCTTATCTTCCAGATGGGAAAGCAAAGCTTCCAAATGGGAAAGGATTTGCTCAGGAAACGGTGGAGCCAGAACTTGAGCTGAGTCTCCTCTTACTTGTAAATTTTAAGTAAACATTGCACACAGCCCCAGGAGCGAAAGGATGGGAATTGATTCCACAGAAATAGGGCGCGAACTACTCACTCCTACAGCAGGATACTTGTTTGGGAGCAAATCTGATGCTTGGTGATGCTGACACAGAGATGACTGTGAACTGATCTCTCAAGGAACAGTCAAGCTGAGGATGCAACCCAGCATGGAAGAAGAGACAGGACCATGTGAGCACAGAGGAGTGGCCTGCCTCAGGGAGGCTTTCAGGGGAGGGGTAGAACTACAGGAGGCTTGTGCCCCAAGCAGATCAGTCAAATGCTTGCTTCTTGAATCCCTCTGTGGAGCCCAGCCCCGCACCAGCCCTGCTCAACTCTCCAGCTCCCCATCTCCAGCCCTACTGAAACCCCTCTCTAGGGTCCTTCCTTGGGTCTTGGTCCTCTTTAAGGAGCCTCTTTAAGAAGCCAGAGCTTGTAAGTGCTCATCTTGAAGATTTCTTGTGCTCACCGTGTAACACCTGGGATTCTTTACAGGCTTCGCCTACCTTGTCTTCTTTTTTTTCTAGAGGGGACACAACTTGAGTGCAGACTGAGGTCCCCTGTGCCAAACATGAGGCCTGACAATAAAAGTGCTCAGTTAGTTAATATAACACACCACTTAGTTCCTCTTGCTGCACTGTCTCTAATGTACCCAGAATCTAGCCCTCTTCACTGAGGACTCTGAGAAACCATTTTTGATGAGGACCCCACGGCCTCTTCAACCCAGTCCTTATCATTTATTCATTTCATTGTTTCAGATCTCTCCCTGTGCATGCTTTGTGTGTTTGATAAACAGAACAAGACCCATGTACCGCCCGCCCACCCTTGGAAGATAGCCTCAATGGAATGTTCAGGAGCTTGAAGAGATATGTTATGTGTAACTAGGACATGTTTCAGTTGCCCTGGGTATACTAGGAAGCAAAGACCAAGTCTGGGGCAAGGGAGTATTTCACCAACATGGTGATATTTACCAGTGTCTCTAAAGAGGGGGGTGAGGAGTGTGGTAGGCAAAGAAAATTTAAAATACAATGAGGTCTTGGCTCCCAAAAGCCCAGTAACTGGAGATCTAGTTGGTGGGGTCTGAGCTGGGGCCCTCCCAGAGGTGACTGTGATCGTCCCAAGTTTATATATTTTAACACACTGTGACTCATTTAGAGAGGTTTTTTTTTTTTTTTTCGTCTGAATCTGTCTTTATTGTGTACCTGTAATCTTTTTCTGACCACACGAGCCTTTAAACTGCTAAGTGTTATGGTCAGGACCTCCACCTCTGTTTTTGTGGCTGGCTCCCTCCTGCAGGCAGCTGCCAGGAGGGAGCGAAATGGAAGAGGGATTGGGAAGAAATTCAAGAACAGAAACTGATAGTGAGTGTAAGAACAACCCGCAGCCGCAGCCGGAATCACAGAGCTCACATGACTATGTGTTTCTAGAAAGAGGAATGAGTAGTGATGAGGGTTCCCTCACCAGGCAGCCTGTGTGGCAGGTGAGTATGAAGGTGTTCTTTCCAGCAGTGGTGTCTCTTGTCCTTCTTCATCGCGCACACTGCCACCCCTTCCCTGGAGGCCAGAGGCCACCTCCTGCAGACCTGGCCTCTTGAGAACAGGACACAACACTGCTCTCTCGCCAGCCTCCCCGCGGGTTGTCCGGGTAACCCCGTTAAACCCAATTCTGTCGATGACATGACGAGGAGCTGGCTGGCCTGATGTCCCTGCCCCTCTCTTGCCCCACCTGCTCCATGTCAGTGTGTAATGCTCACCTGGGGATCAGACATTCCTAGATGGGGCTGGGGCCCCCGCCCCGCACTCTTTCCTGCTGTTGTTGAAGTGGGGGGGGGGGGCCCAGCCCAAGCAAAGGTGCACGGATGCGGGCCCAGCCTCTTAGCCTGGCTCTTAGCTCACAATCCTGAGGGCAGGGGAGGGGCTGAGCAGCTTTTGGACAGAGGTACCAGGGCCTCAATTTACAGATCTTGCGGTGTGCGGCAAGGGGAGGGGCATGGCAGACTCTCGGGGGAGGGGCCTGCTTTCTCCATCCCCTTGAACCTGGATACAACCATCACTCACAGAGGGCTGATGTTGAGTGCCTGGGGTTGGAGGTGGGCTGGGAGTGAGTAGAAGACTGTAAAAAGCAGTCTGGGGTCCTCATCGTGAAGGCCCCTTGAGTGTTAGCTCCAAGACGGTATGGCGTTTTATAGGACTGGTTCTTTGTACCTACAAGGTGGTGTAGACATGTAATATTTCTAAGGGGGGATGAGGGCCTGAGGAACTGGAACCCAAAGATGAAGACAATGTTTTTAGGTCAGGTTCTTTCAGAAAGGTGGTTCTGGCAGTCACTGTAAAGAAAGGAGGTATAGTAAGACTAAAGCTATGTCGGGATCGGGAGGCAGCCAGTGTGAGGAGAATCCTGGAGTATGAGGAAAGCATACTTGGCCCCGATCAAGGATAAAGGCTTTCCAGAGAGGTTCTGGATTCAGCAGTTAGACAGTGTGCCGCAAAAAGAAAAAACTTTTCTGAGACAGGGTTTCTCTGTGTAGCCCTGGCTGTCCTGAAACTCACTCTGTAGACCAGGCTGGCCTCTTACTAGGGATCCATCTGTCTCTGGACCCCAAGTGTTGGGATTAAAGGTATGTGCCACCACACCGAGCAGTAAACCCTTTATTTTTATTTTTGTTTTAAGACAGGCTAACCTGAAACTGTAGCTGAGGCTAGCTAGCCTTGTTCTCATGTGATCCTCTTGCCTCTGACTCCCCAAGTTGGTGAGACACCCACCAATTTGGAAAGAAACGATGCTGGATAATATTCTAAGGTAGGGTCCACCCTTTGCTGTCCCACATCCACACCACGCTAAGGCTAAATTGTAGCAGCAAGAGCATCCAGGGCCCAGAGAATATGCAACAGAAAGGGTGGGGCTAAGATGTCATGTGACAGCACAATCAGCAAGGGAGAGAGGATCTGGCTGAGCCCAAAGGCCATCTGGCAGACCCTGAGCTGAAGGGTGTACACAGTATCTCCCTGGGTCTTAGACTGGCTCTGCCACTGTCTTCTTCTACTCAAGGAAATCATGGAAAACAGTTCATTTATTGTCAGCTCCACCATTAGTCATCAGCAGATCTGGGCTGGGGATACAGCCTTATTGTAAGCACTTGCTCAGTGTGGTCAAAGGCCCTAGTCTTAATCCCCAGCACCTAACATTAAAATAAGAACTTGAAGAGCTGAGACCTGAAAAGAATCTGACTCTAAAGTCAGACCTAGGTGTCTGAAAACTAACAGGCTGGAGTCCAAGAGTGTGTTACAAGTGCAGTCAACACCACTGCCCTCTACTGTCCCTGTGGAGGGGCACACAAAGCCTTGGGATGTTTTGAAACTGATGTTGGGATGACTGCTAGTGTTAGAGGATGCTGCTGGCAGTCTCTGTGGAGACACTCAAGGGTGAGGACAGAAGCAAGGAGGCCCACCAGGTAAGTACTGCCTCACTTAGGCTAAAGATACAGGTGGTTTGGACCAAGAGAAAAGGGCGCAGTGATGAGAGGGGATCAGATATGGGGCTGTATTTTGAAAGCAAGGGTGATTGGCATGGGGACAGCAAATGGAATAAAGGATAGCTTAGCTTTTTTTTTTTTTTTTAACTACGTAACAATGTGAGATAGGTGACCATGGGAATGGAAAGGGTGTAGAAAGGTCTGTGGGTTAATCCAGAGCTCTTACAGACACATTAAGGTTGTAATGATTGAGTCAAGCAGAGAAGCAGACAAATGTGCATGAACTGAGTAAGATCAGAGCTAGGAGTAGGCATGAGTTGGCAGCTTAAGGGCGCTAAGGCCCTGTTAGAGCATGCCGGAGGGAGGAAGTGCCAAGAAGCAGGCCCCAGAGGAGGTTTGGATTCAGAGAAAGTAAAGCAGGAGAGATCAGGCTAAGACAATATCCCAAATCAAGATGAGGACAAACACCTCTAAGTAGTGAGTGAGCCCACTGAATCAAATCTTCGTACAACAACCCAAGTCCAGTTTCTCCAGGCACTCCAAGCACCGGCTCCCTAGGAAACAAACTTACCTTCTGCACACAAGTTTGCATGTGGATTTTAGTGCCAGAGACATGAGTTCAGTTGACCAGGCTGGCCTCGAACTCACAGAGATCCCCTGCCTCTGCCTCCTGAGTGCTGGGATTAAAGGCGTGCGCCACCACCGCACAGCTAGCAGCTCATTCTTATCTTGCTTTTGTTTGATTCCCAGAAAGGCTGTCCACTTTGGGTTTGGGGGAGGGGGGAAATTGGAACCTGGGGCTCACCAACTAGGCTAGGCTGCCCAATGAACTCCATCTTGCCAGCACTGAGATTACAAATGTGTATGATCATGCCCAGATTTTTTTTGTTGTTTTTTGTTTTTTGAGACAGGGTTTCTCTGTATAGCTTTGGAGCCTATCCTGGCACTCGCTCTGGAGACCAGGCTGGCCTCAAACTCACAGAGATCCGCCTGCCTCTGCCTCCTGAGTGCTGGGATTAAAGGCATGCGCCACCAATGCCTGGCCACACCCAGATTTTTAAAATTTTGTTCATTGGTGTTTTGCCAGCATGTATGTCTGTGTGATGGTGTTAGATCCCCTGAAACAGGGGTTAGACAGGTGTGAACTGGCATGTGGGCACTGGGAATTTCACGCAGGTCCTCTGGAAGAGCAGCCAATGCTCTTAACTGCCAAGCCATCTCTCCAGCCCCCATGCCCATAATTTTTAATGTGGAAGCTGAGGGTCAAATTCAGGTCCTATTTATGTAGCAAGCATTTTACTGCCCATCTCCCCAGCCTCCTCCCTCCACTTTTTTACTTTTTCAAAACAGAGTCTCCATTGCTGTTAAGCACGCTAGTCTGAAGCTGGCATCCACACCCCCTCCTCAGGATTTCAGGTGCTGAGAGTACAGGTGTGTGTGTACTAGAGACATGCATGAACCCCACATTGGCCACATTCATTTTGTATGTCACCTCTGTAGAGCTCTAGAACTACCTGCTAAAACATGACTGGGGTAAACATGACTGGTTAACATGACATAGGTGGATATGACTGTGGACTCACAGCTGGACTCAAAGCAAACACAGCTTTGTTTAAACCTCACCTTACCACTGCTATCTGGATAACCATGAGCCACACCCTGAACTGGAAATGCTCCTGCTCAGAACTCATGGGTGTTGGGTTACAGAAAGATTAAATCAGAGAAAGGGAACATATGATTGAATTAAAATTCCTTAGCATAATCTCTTCATCTACAACTAATACCATCCATGTTTGGGGACCAACTAATAATTTGAGAAGCTAAGTACACAAATAAGGCCTCCTTCCAGAACCCTAGGATGGAGAGGGAGCTCAGTCAGTGGTTACACCCAGTGCCGGGTAGAGTCAGTAAGGTAGACTCTTGAAGCAAATATAGACCACTAATTATGTCAGAAGATATTGGAATGTCTGTAATAGGGTCCCAGACCTCAGCACCACTGACTCCATGGGGGAAGTCCCATTTAGGCCGTAAAACTTAGCACACAGACACCACCAAAACTAAAACAAAGACCTAATCCATCAAAGCCCATAGTTATGGGAAAGTCTCTAAATGTACAAACCTTGCTTGTTGGCTTCTGTAGTTCTGCTTCTGGCTAAATTGCTTGTTAACTGAAGTATGTCAACCCAGGATATGGTTTTTGTGCTTAAAGTTCACCCTGAGAAAGACTAGGGTAACTGGGATCCTGAACACCCAGTGTCACCACCAGCAGGCTAATAAAGACTTTCTATTGTTGTAAGCCTGTGTCTGAGCAGTCTTCTCTGGTAAATGCCCCACAACAATGTCTTTCTCCTCCGTGTTTTTTGAGTGGATCAACACATGTAAGCCAAAAATTCAAGAATTGCCTAAGATTCGCACCTCTCACTCATACCCTCACATTTTATTAGCTAACAAGGTGGCAGTCTATCATACTTCAAAATGCTAATGCATCATCAAATCAGATGGTTCTCACTGTAAGCCACACCACTGTCATGTGGCTCTAAAGGGGAAAAGTCAAAACCAAGTTGGTTTTGATGGCTCACCAAGTGACAAGTGTGTGCTGCTTTTGCAGAGGAGAGTCTGACGTCTCTGGCCTCTTTGGGCACCTGCACATATCCACTGGCCCCCAAGAGGAAAAAGTGATAGGCCACTGACTTTTAGGAGCACTCAAATTCCAGATATGCTAACACAGAAGAATTCCACTGCACAAATGACGCAATCTGGCACCCCACACTCCAATGCTGATAGCTCAGCCCAGACCCTCATTGTCTCCTGCTAGATGAGGAACGGAAGCTCTTCACACCTTCCCTCTATCCAGCCTTTGCTTCTTGAAGTCCAGTAGTCCAGACCTTAGTTCCTTTGCCATCACCCCGGCCAATGTCCACTTCAGCTTCTGGACTTCCACTGCTATCAACACATTTCTTCTTTCATTGGCCTCTTTAATCGTTAGAATTTTCTAGCCAGAACAGTCTTACTACACCCCTTGTAAAGATCAGGATTACTTTGCTTGATGAGGTTAAGAGTATATCCAACAAATTCTACCCAGAAAGAACCCTCCTTAGCTGGGCGTTGGTGGCGCACGCCTTTAATCCCAGCCCTTGGGAGGCAGAGGCAGGCGGATCTCTGTGAGTTCGAGACCAGCCGTCTACAAGAACTTGTTCCAGGACATCCTCCAAAGCCACAGAGAGACCCTGTCTCGAAAAACCAAAAAAAAAAAAAAAAAAAAAAACTTCCCTCCTTAACCCCCCAAAGACAAGCTTCCTATACACAGGGAGTCTTCCTTTCAATGTCTTCCCATATTCTACAATGTCCTATGCATACCTCCACTAAGTTCTTAAACCTTACTGTAATCGTTAACCTGCTTATTCCTCTAGCAGACTGTGCTTTTTTTGAAACAGGACCCTGTGCTGAGATTATCCTCTAGAGCCTGGAAATGAGAAGGCACTTACTGCTTAGGAGGGAAGAGTGCTGATGAACAGCAGCTGCTGCATATGCTCATTGGGTCCTAATCCCCCATTCTGACTTGTGTATCCAGAACCATCCCTCAGCCAGGCAATCGGATTAACCAGGGAAGAGCACTGGCACTACCTGGTGGCCAGAGCGGGAAGTACATCTTCTTTGGAAACCATTGCTCTCCAGGCACAGCTCACTGCTAGAAATGTCAAAAGTGTGAAAAATCTATATTTGCAGTGGTTCAGCGTGATAACTGAGTGCCAAAGGGGCTGAGAAAGACAGACGAGACTGGAATGTTGCCAGAAGGTTATTTTGCCAATGCTGAATGTCAAGTCCAGATCTGTGGGATCAATACCATCTAATCACAATCACCTTTGAGACTGCCTTTTACCCAAAATTGGTTACTTTTTCTGTCCCAACACTGGTCTCTGCCTTCTGGACTCCGTGCTCTTGTGTAATGCTTTCCCTCAGCTGTGGACTGACCTAGAGACTGGACTCTAAACAGAATACAACAAAGATGTATCATTTCCATACAGAGGTTGGAACTTCCATTCTGCGCATGAGCTCCCATCCTTTCTTATGCAGTGTTCCTGTGATTGCAGGGACTTCTGTGGTAAAAAGCTGAGGGTGACCTCTACCTAATCATCTGCAGGTAGCCCAGCAATCTCCAATGAACCAAAATTCTGCCAAAATTAAGTGAGCTTGGAAGCAGATAGGAAGGCCCTGAGAACCAAGTCCTAGCCAAAAACGAATGGTAGCCTTGCAGTATCAAAGAAATCCTGAGGTTAAAGGCCCAGTGAAACCATGATAGATGAGTGTCCCTTTAAACCACTCCCCTGTGGCAATTTGTTTACTTCCTAACTGTGCACTATTCAAAATCCGTCATTACCACACAGGTCAGAACCTCCTGAAGCAGCGTTCCAAAGTCAAGATCAGCTAACACTCCAGTAAAGTTTGTCTTCCAGCTCGGCAGCTTCCCAGCAAGGGGCTTTCTGCAAGACCTTTCTGTGCAGACTGAATGACTAAGTATCAGTCATGTTTCTCATTAGATCTTGATTTCTTGTCATGCTACGTCGGCATGGACTGTTTCTAGCTCACAAGGTACACTGTTCATAAGGGAAGCCATGAACACCAGGACACAGTGTATACCCAAAGTTGGGCTTCTGGGCTCAAGCACACATTCCTCATGTTCTTTAGAACACATTACAAAAGATTACATGGCATAGAAGTAGTCGTCACTCTGAATATGCTCCAAATTTAGCTAACTCAGCTTAACAAATAGGAAATGAGGTAGAATCCAAAAAAATCTCACTCAAAGTCACAGGAGTTTTGGCCAGGAAAGGCCGTGTTCAGTACTGCCTGTCTGCAGTACTGGAGATGGAACCAGAGCCTCATGCATGCCATGTAAACACTCTGACTCCTGCTGTGTAAACAGGCTAACATTGAGCTCCATCCCGTCCCTCTTCAGTTCGTGACTTATTCAGTAAGCAATAAAAATGCCTTTGCACACACTATCTTACAAAGGCATTGCGTGGGTCTGTCCTGCTGTGTGCTGAGCTCAGGCTGTCCTAGGGAGGCTTCAGAGTGGACTCACACAGTAGCAGCAGCCTCCCATGCCTCTGCCAGTTCTAAACTTCTGTGAGGATTAGGACAACCGCCCAAACCTGCCCTTCTTCGGCTGCTGCCACAGTCTCCAGTCACTCTCACTAGACAGGACAGGCAGAAGGGCAACTGACTATCAGGTGACTATCAGGACTGAAACTCTAGAATTCATCACTCTCACCCAGCCATGCCAAGTTTTTGTTGTTTCTTTTAATCTTGTGTAAGCAACACTGGGATTCCTGAAATCAACCTCAAATTGTCATGGCACCTATGAAGACAGCTTCAATACCAACCTGACACAAAAGATAGGAAAACGGTTCCCTTTGGAAAATGACCCACCAACTTGCTGTGGGAAGAAGGTTCTTCCTTCTCCGGTGTTTTGACTTAGAGAGGAACAACTGGAGGTGAAGGAAGTACTAGCCAATCCTCTGAAATGGAGTGACCTGCCATCAGTGGGCCCAGGAAGATCCCACAGGAGTTCTGTGATTCCTCGCCATCCCAACTGACAGCAAACACAGCATCTACACCCACCATGGTCTCCTTCCAAGAAGTTCACCCAATAACGCACAGTCCTCGTGAACCCCCCACCCCTACCCCATCAAGGAAGAGAATGTGGACAAGGAGGTAGTGGTCAGGCCTTTGTCATGAGGACTTCTAGTCAGAGCCATACTCAGTGAGTCAGTCCCTGGAAGGCAGGTTCGGTGCATGGGGGCAAGGCCATGGGCTGGTTCAGCAGCTTGTCCATCATGCCAATTTTAGCATCTTGCTTCTCAATGTCTTCATATGGAGTCCATGACAAGTCATGTTGCAGCTTGTAGGCACCAAGGAAGTCATGGGGGCAGCCTGCTCCCCATTCCTAGAGGGCAAAGGAGCAAGTCCTCATGAGGATGAGAAGTGAACAGCACTCTTTCTCTACTAGGGCATAGACTTCTTTTTGTGCTTTGCACCTCAGACTTATCAATCAAACCATCATTGGAAGTTCCATTACACATCAGAGCCGGGCGTTGGTGGCACACGCCTTTAACCCCAGCACTCGGGAGGCAGAGGCAGGCGGATCTCTGTGAGTTCAAGGCCAGCTTGGTCTTCAGAGCGAGTATCAGGATAGGCTCCAAAGCTACACAGAGAAACCCTGTCTCGAAAAACCAAAAAAAAAAAACAAATAAAACAAAACAAAACATTACACATCAGAAACAATGAATATCACCAAGCAGTGGTAGAGCATGCCTTTAAAATTCCCAGCACCTGGGAGGCAGAGGCAGGTGAGCTCTGTGAATTTGAGGCCAGCCTGGTCTACAAAGTGAGTCTGAAGACAGCCAGGGCTATAAAGAGAAACCCTGTCTTGAAAAACCAAAGAAGAGGGGGCTGGAGAGATGGCTCAGCGGTTAAGAACAATGACTGCTCTTCCAGAGGTCCTGAGTTCAATTCCCAGCAACCACATGGTGGCTCACAACCATCTGTTATGAGATCTGGTGCCCTCTTCTGGTGTGCAGATATACATGGAAGCAGAATGTTGTATACATAATAAATAAATAAAAATCTTAAAAAAAGAATGAATGTTCTTCTGGAATCGAGTTGTAGAGAAGGATGAGTGAAAAGCAAAGGGGTCCAGACCAGGCTGGTGAAACCCACAGAAACAGCTGACCTGAACATCGGGGAACTCTTGGTCTCCAGACTGTTAGCTGGGATACCAGCATGAGACTGATCCAGACCCCAAGAACATTGGTTTCAGTGAGGAAACCTCGGAAATCTACAGGACCTCCTTTAGTAGCTCAGTACTTATTCATAGGTATGGACTCTGGGAGCCCATTCCACATAGAGGAATACCCCCTGAGCCAAGACACACAGGGGTGGGCCTAGGCCCTATCCCAAAGATAGACTCCAATGCCCCCCCATGGAAGGAGTCACCATCCAGGGGGAGCAGAAAGGATATGTGATAGGTAGGGTTTTAGTTTGGGGGGGTGATAGGGGTGGAGGGGAGGGAGGAGGAACTGGCACTGTCATGTCAAACAATCTTGTTTCAAATAAAAAAAAATAAAAAAATAATGAATGTTCTTACCTCTGGAGAAATAATGGAAAAGTACTGCTGGCCACTTTCCCTCTGGTAAAGATAGTAAATGTTGCCAGGTTTTTTCACCATATTGCAAGCCACATGGTGCAAGTCAGCATCTCTTCGAGCATCTTCCAGTACCTGCCAGCCACACAGGTGTGACAAGAGATGAGTCAGAGGTGCCAGGCCTCACCCACATCACACTAACCAAAGCACACAAATTTCCAAACTTGCAGTCTGATTCCCCAGCAGCAATGACTCACTACTGGGGTCCAAACAGTTCAGAAGATAAGGAGATTACACAAGCTGTTATGCTGGGAAAAGCTGTTAGAGCGATAAGATTTTTTAATGTTGAGTGTGGCTTCTTGGGGAACTCTTAAATTTTATAAAAGAAACATTTCCTCCCTGACCTTTCTTGGACTAAGAAGCAAATCCCACTTCTACTTAACTTCTGTTATGGTTCAGATGTCATTTGTCTCCTAAAGGATTCTAGAAGCTTGGCCACCAGTGCAGTGACATAAGAGGGAGGGCCTCGTAGGAGGCCAACTGTCCTAGACACTGCCTTCAGAAGGGAGTTCTGGGAAGAGCTATGTGAAAACATAAGCCAGGATTTGGTGCTGTAAAAGCCTGAGACTGAACCTGAATCTCTAGCCCTGTTTGAAGATGTTCTGCTCTCCACACATGCCCTGCTATGACTAGAAGTGACCAGAGTTCTCCCCAGAGCTGAGCTACAGCAGCACCATGCCCTTGAACCTCTAAACCTATGCACAAAGTAAAC